CTGGTTTTGAAGGGTAAGGGTGCTGGTGAAATTACAGGCACATGGGACTTGTCAACTTATGTCTCAGGTTGATGGGCGCGGTGGCAGTGCGTTTCAGATCTTTGTGATTTAACGCTCTTAGCAGCACTGTAATTGCTTTGGACTGGCGTGTCTCTTCCTTAAAAAAATGTGATAAAGAAGTTATGTGCTTCGCATCTGTGACGGTTCAAATAACTCGTACTTTCACAATTTGTTTTTAGTTAGGCTTATTAGGCAATTTGTTAGAAACTTTACCAGTCTCATTCACATCATACACACATACTATAAATATATAATCAATTCTAGAATAAGTAAGGTTTTATACTGTACCTGGTGGTGACCTTTCCACGATGACGTAATTTATACCTGCGTAGGGCGTAGCTACTACTCGTACACTTCGTTCTACCCTAATCGATTACTTGTGCTTTTAATTTCGTCGTTTGCTGTCGCTGAAATGGTATACTGTTGTAGCGTGGGTGCTAACACCCACTACCTCAAATTACACCTAGAGCTAACTCAAATTACACCTATATCAGGAAAAAACCCAGCTGTGTCATGTAATACTGTTTATACCATCTTGAGCGAAATGTACAGACCAGAACACTTTTTTTGCTATTGTGGAAAGTTCCATATAGAAAAAGAATTTTGGTATCAAATGCTGCAATTGGAAATTAAACTGTTAATTCGGATCTGTATAGCGTATATTGGTTTTGTCAATTTAACCAGCGTTTCGGGTTCTTGATAGGTCTCATGTTCACAGATGACTGAGATTTAGATTTATTCTTGTACATTATGGTCGCTCTACGTCCGGTAATGAAAAAAAGGCATCATGCCATTGCCAAACTATAAAAAACTTAATATTTACCAGGTACATTGCCAGGTACATATGTATATATACTGGAAGTGTGCAAATTTATTATAAAGAACCCAAATTTTTATAATAAAGTAGGAAATAGTTCCGGACCTCATCCTACGTCAATAAAAATCTATAATAAAGTCCCAGAATTTTCAAAAACAGAGTCAAACGTAAACAATAGTATAAATGCATTGAAAAACTTATTAATTTATAAAAGTTATTATCGTGGACGAGTATTTTCAGGATAAATTATAATTATGTTTGGATGGCACAAACTTCGGGAGGCCTATACCCAGCAGTGGGTGAAATCAGGCTGTGGATAATGATGATGATGAAATTGTAATTATTAATGTCTGACCCTCTCCCTTTCCATATTGCGATACCTGTCTAGGAGCATGTGTTTGTTAGTGTCTAAGTATATACATAAGTATATTTTGTAACGATAACACATGTAAAGGACTTATAAACAAATAAATAAAATAAATAAATAGAAATTTTCGCAGAACGCAACTTATGGATTTGGTTGTCAAAAGGTCCACCAGGTGGAACGTGGTCTCCGCCAAATACATATGGGAAACTAAAGAAGTATTCTTAATATTGCAAACGTGTTACATGGGATATGAGATCTTAAGTCTCTTGTGACTGCGCCGGATCTCCTTACCTTTAAATCCGGAGTTATACAGGCTGTATATTTGAAAGTGAGACATATTCATACATGTCATAGTAAATCATGTTACAATTTAACATATACCAAAAT